CCACGTCTGACACGGAATCAACATTAGAATATAATTCGCTGTGAATCTTTGAAAGTGATCTGCTTAAGTTCAGTAATTCAGAAGACAAAGTAGTAGCAAAGTAACAAAGTAACAAAGTATAAGTGCAAAAACGTGCCAGTAAGAGTTGCTCGAAAAAGTGCCGAAGTCTCACAAAAAATAATATGCAGAAATTGATTGAGCTGGGTTTTGCGGAAGAGAACCAACTTAACAGCAACTTCAAAATGTGTGATTCTTGTCGTATAGCACACACCAAACTATCAAGTAACGCTGAGTTATCGAACTGCCATGAACAAGATATCAACATGAATGTTCCAAGTCAAGAATCCTTTGCAACTGTACCATCGATAACATCGGCGGAAACAATTGACTCTAATGTTGGTGAATATTCGCAAAGCGTTAATATTGAACTTTTCAACAAATTTATAACTAGTATTTTGACATCACCAATTGATCTGAAGAAAATGAGTTCTGTAAATTATGCTGTGCAGGAATATCATGAAATTTTCAAAGAATTAGAAAACGCATCTTTGCAGTTAATGCAGAAGCTAACTAGAGGTTCTAGGTAAGACAATATGTATTAGACTCCCACCCCGAGTTCAGATTGACGGTGACGACGAGTTCGTGTATTTAGGCTCACTGGTGACCGCCGAAAATGATACCAGCAGAGAAATTCAAAGACGCATTGTGGCAGGGAATCGTGCCTACTTTGGACTCCGAATAAAATTCGCCGCCGCACGAAGTTGACTATCTACAAGACGGTGATTGGACCGGTGGTCCGCTACGGTCACGAGACATGGACTATGCTCGTGGAGAACCACGTGTGTTTTCGAACGGAAGGTGTTGCGTACCATTTACGATGTAGTGCAGATGGATGACGGAACGTGAAGGAGGCGAATGAATCACGAATTGTGCCATCCATCGTCTACATTGCAAAAATAGGGCGACTACGGTGGGCTGGGCACGTCGTAAGAATGTCGCACGACGACTCAGTGAAAATGGTTCTCGAAAGCGACCCAACATAAACAAGAAGAAGAGGCGCGCCGGGTGGGCAAGGTGGATCGACCAACTATAAGGCGACCTGCGGATCGTTCGCAAATTACGAGGCTGGCGAAGTGTGGCCATGGATCGAGTAGAGTGGAGACGACTTCTTCGGACAGCAAAGGACAATAAGACCTTGGCCTGATTGGTAAGGTAAGTATCATGTCCTCTTCCACCATATGAAGCACACTGCATACTTATAAACAGGGTGCCTTCCATTAATTTTGACTAAACAAATGTTTTAGAAAATTATGGAATAATAAGATATTATGGTGGTATTTTGTATGTGTAAGGAACAAGAAAAGATTTTAAAGTTTGTGTTTGACACATAAAACCTGCAGCTTTGACAGAGCCACAATGAGCGATTTTCTGATCGCCTCTTCGCGAAGAGTGAAGAGCGAAGAGTGGGTGAGATAAATGACAAAATCGCTTATTGCCACTCTCATGCAGCAACATTGGCTGGTATTATGTGTCAAACACAAACTCCACAATCTTTTCTTGTTGCTTACACAAACAAAATATTATAATAATATCTTATTATTCCATAATTTCAAAAAAAAAAATTTTATAGCCAAAATGAATGGAAGGAACCCTGCTTATAAACATACAAACATTAAAAGAGCGTCGTGAATATGCAATCGTTTCATATGTAAACGATATCGTTTCACAGCGCATTGACAGAACTTTTATTTTTGGGGCGACCCCGGCGTAATGGTTAAAATCCATACCTCTCACGCCAAAGTCACGAGTTCAAATATCACCCCGGACAAGTCACGAATGACCCAAGAGTTTTAAAGTGACTATAATAATAATAAAAAAAAAACTTTTATCAAAATTAATTTCCTATGTGCCTACTCGGCAACTCCAAAATCGAAATTTATTTGCCATAAACCATCATCTCACAAATTATGCAAAATATTAGAATAATTAAATCTCATGTTAGCATCTCACAAGCAATACTGCGAAACCATTGACTTTACAATATGTCTCGGCATAAACTAAAACAATATTTAACTCCATACAGAATTATAATTCATAAGAAGGAAAAGAGGAATTTAATTTTAATGTAAGACAAAATTGTACTTTTTATTTTTTCTTTCAAAGATTTTTTGTTTATATTAAATAATAAAAAAAAACTGTATATGGATTTGTACTGGCCTACGTTGGTTGACAAAATAAATAAATAAATAAATGTAGTAAATCAACAAAATTGACAATTTTTATTTTTATACATTAAATGGGTAATCCTGTACAATGTCTGTACAAATTCGGAATAAATTTTTCACTGGTTTTTAAACTTTTACCAACAGGATAGTTCAAAAAATTAACAGTGGAGGACTGGATTAGTGTGTAGAATTATACAATCCTCGATTTGTTGATCGTATGCAAACCAAAATAACTACAGCCATAGATGTAAATTACACTACTAAGAAAAAAAACAGGAAACAGGAAGTAGCTATAAGCGAATGTCTTCAACCATGCAGCATCACAGAAAGCCAGCAACTTCGAAATGCATTGACTTTTTGGTAAAAGCACTCAACCATCACCATCTCCAGCCATATGCTGCCTCGTGCGGTTCGATGCCAAAACTCAAAACGGGCCGCATATGTGGAATCGATCCATCACAGTTAATTACGCTCATCCGACGACTCATTAGCATCGAAAGAATAAGGCAATACAAATTTGCATTCCATTTGCTACTCATGACATTCATATTGCCATTCATTGACAATTAATGGTAGCAACAGCGGTAGCAGAAGTAAAGCTTGGACCACCGTACCTCAGTGACAATTACCGGTCCCGTTCTTTCACTTGACCTTGTTGAAGAAAGACCATTCTCATCAATTTCGCACTCTCATCCAACTCTTTCCAAGATCAGTTTCCAAGAACAATTGCTTCACAATTGCATCTTGGAGTTGCCTTTGCCCATGCATTCACAATTGATTGCCGGCGTCTGCTATAAATTAGAAAGGTGAGTTTACGATCGCTATCACCCCCTCAATTTACACCTTATTTTCCGCTCACTTTTTTTTCCAAACAATGAGCAAATTTTTACGACGACGTGCGATAGGTTGATTAGCCTCGGTTGGATGAACTGATTAATTTGTTGATCGATCCAATAACCAGGTGTGCAGCTGGTAGGTGGGCACAAAAGAATAAATCAAGGGACGCGTGAATATTGTTTTGCATATGAGTTCAACATTTGGGTAGCCGATTGGGTTCGTGACGTTTTTTTTTTTTGCTAAAAAAAACAATGACTTAAACGAAAATTCCACTTTAAATCGTGATTGAATTGTCAGAATAGTGCATTTGAATGATTAATGAGATGGAAGTGACTTCTGATTGTATTTTTAGTGAAGTCGTGATTAAATGTTATTCAGGCTGCAATAGCACTTGACGGATACCAAATTTAGACCACGGTAGAAGCACATTGCAAAAGGTTGTAGAACCGACTGAAATAAATCTGTTATAAATTCACGTTCATTTGGGAACACCTATTTTAAGTTTTGTAAGAACTGAAGACTGATGCACTGTAAATCGTTAACTATACGAGTTAATCTTTTACATCTAAGACAACATTCAACAACCCATCATGTTATGCTAACCAAAATTGCATCAGATTATTTATGTGAGCTAAATTATCAACAGATCCGTTAAATTATCGCTAAACTGCCGGAATCTATGAAATAGCCGCAATCGCGGGCACCGCGTATTTTCAACCATTAACTCATACCATGAAAGCTAATCACTTTTCCGGTAGACTGCCGCCGTATTTTACCCTCGTTCGAATCACTTAAAAGGGTCCAAATATTTATGTTCACCTTTTGTGATCGCTTAAATAATTCAATCTACTTATATTTGTGCCCCAAAACCCACCAGGGAAACAGGTGACAGATAACGTGCCATAATTATCAACTTTGCAACGGTTACTGATGGATAGGTAATAAAGCATGCATAACTGAAGAAGGACTGGTGGTTAATCACGTTACGTATTACGTAAGGCATTTGGATGTGTCCAATGTATCAATACAAAATAAAACGTAACCATTTAAAATTCAAACCATGCCCGGGTACCAACAACCGATAGTTGTATCGAGCGCAAGTAGTCAAGTGCAATCGGCGGAATTGTGTCTCTTTCTAATTTTCGTTTTGCTTGGATAGATTCCGTTGCGAATTAGATTACTTCTTCCAATATTGAAGTTAATAAGTTTCTTCGAGGGAATCAGTCCAGCAGCAGTAATGTTTTCATCATGCTTCACTTATGTTGCGTAAGCGCCCGGAATTGGTTGCACTTTCTTTGTTGATCTCGCCAGGTAAACTAAAACCGGACATTCAAATTTCGTCACTGCTCTCTAGTCTAGTAAATTTTCGATCATCGCCTTCGCATTGGAACCGGCTTCCTTGACTTTAGTGCACTAATAACCATGTTGCGGTGTTGGGGGAAAGTTTCGGCGGTCGAGTCAAAAAAAAAATGAACTCGAACTACGAGGGTGTCTCCGCGAACAGGTTCCACTTTTGACTTTTACGGGTTACTCGTTTTCACACCAAATATGCTTTTGTTTGTGAATTTTTATCAAGAGCCGTCAAGTGTCGTAGGAGATCACGACCCATATGATTACAACAACGGGTTGAAATACCACATTTTGTTTCTGTAAGTTGTGAAAGTTGAACATTACTCGACTGAGATAACTTCACTTTTCTCACTGAAATGCAATCGTTCATCTTTGTACAAGAAATGCATATTGCATCAAAGAAAATAAATGAAACATGTGCAGCTCAAAAGACACAACAAAAGTGCACTACAAAATTGCCAAATGGAACAAAGCGACCGACCGCCCGATCAACAATAGGCCAGCTGAACCATTTTCGATGCAACAAAACGGCTGCTTAAGAGTGTTTATTTATTTGCCTTGTGTGAACGAACATGCGAGCGTACTTACTGATTTTGCACCGCTTTATGTGCAGCTCTTCGATGGGCACATTCAGACTGGCCAAATTGATGAATGCCACCGAGAGGCTGGCCAGGTTGGAGTTCTCACAGGTAATAAAAATTCCATCGTCCGTCCCTCGGGTGCACACGCAGGGGTAGATGAGTTTTGGTCTGCAAGAAGGAAATACAGAAAGTTGTTATATTTATCGTTAGTACAAATCTGTCCAAATTTATTAACTTGTTTGTTAATATGAATCGTATCGTATCGTATCGGTCGTGCTCAGCTAGTTAGCATTCACAGTAAGGCCTGATTGCTCTTTAATGTATACGTCGATGACGTCTCTATTCCATTCGGTCCATGCTGCCACGGAGGTTGATAATATAGGAGAGCAAATCAACTGTACTCCGAATTCCATGAAAATTTGCATAATTCAAGCTATGCATAATGGATAGGTCATACACACTGTAAACAGATTCGTGAGGTCGGCAGATAAAAATACTGAGCTGACACGGCAATTCATAATTTTACTGATATTTCGGCAACAAAATTATTGTTTTCCGAGATTAGCGTTAGCGTTAGCGTTAGCGTTGTTATGATATACTTCGTAGATTGGATACTAGCGACACTCACGTCTCTTCTGAAATTCTCAGTTAGACTACTTTCAGGAATAATGCTGGGGAGTAAACATTGGTTCCAATCTAAACAAGAGTAACAGAAGCATGACTGTCGCTATTCCCGGCCACGCCCATCTTTACCATAACTAGGGATAGGGAAGGAAATGTTGATGTAGTACTTACTTAATGAGAGGCCACCGACTTAGCGACACCCTCATAAGTGCTACGGAGTTGGAGGGTTGGGTAGGGTATTCGGTTAGGATTCACCTCAAGTTGGCGATGCAACCAAAATTGTGTATTGTTTATTTGTTGTTTATTTAATCTCTCGATAGCCGGCTATCGAAAGAACATATTCATTTTGTTTAGTGATCCTGAATTTTAAGAATCATGGCGGAGAGCTTGGGATTAAACCCATGATTTTCTGCTAAGTAAGCAAAAACGATCCCTCCAGGGTCATCGAGCATCTTAGAACCATAACGCTTCGCGACAATACAGGGCTACGTTTTCGCTTGATATGCAAATAGTTCCCGAGGTTAATGTTCAATATCAAATATACAAATGATGGTGGCGATTTATTGTGCTGTGGAAGAGCTTGGGGTTAAATCCATGATTTTCTGCTCAGTAAGCAAAATCGATCCCTCCAGGGTCATCGAACATCTCATAATCCACAGCGCTTCGCGTCAAAGTACGAATATATGGATGAACTATCTATTATTGAATAACTATTATTTACGATGATTACATGAAAGAAATAAAATATAAACTACAAACAAAACGTGACTACTAAAATCTCAAAAAGATATTCTTACAAATATATTTCACGCAACCAGGAATCTCAAAACCATTAGACGCTATAATGATACTCTGCACATGTTAGACACAAGAAGAGGCCAAAAAGCAAGCGTCCGACACCCAAAACCCGCCAAATCCACTTACAGTCACAATCAACGATTCTACGAATCGCGAGCGCTCACGAATCATAAAACCGCCGACTGCGGCACTCTGAAATCGAAATTGACAGGCTCTATGCGTCAAACACCCGCCCTTCAATCTCCTCCCGCATCCAACAACACAAATCTCCATTACAACAACTAACGAATTCAAAACTCCGAAAATCTGCCTATCTTTCTATTGGGCCTGTGGACATGCGTTAGCTCGACAAATTACAGCATGAACGTGGCTCTTTGAAAAGATGTCCAAGACAAAATTGTAGAAAACTGATAGATGGTATCGAAACAAGTAAACAAATAAACTGGAACGAACTCACCAAATGAACGATGGTTTGCACGTGAAGCCAATACTTGAAAGACTGTTGCATCCCTTAATTTTAGCTAAACATTTCATAATATTCCTTCGGATCTTCAAAGAAGCTCTTGCACCTGCTTCCAATCAGAATCATCGATTATGATAAACGATAACACTTTGGAATGCATTTCCAACCGATCACTTTCACCAAAATTATTGTTTTCCGAGATTGACCAAAAACATTTGCCGAAATATCAGAAATACATCTTTTTGTACCGAAAATCGGCAAAGTAATTTGCTGAGCACATCAGTAAATAGAAATAATACCGAAATCAGCAATCGCGTTTACTGAGATTTCGGTATTGGCCTCATCCATTGCCGAATTTCGGTAATACAGCTGTCACTTTTTTTTCCACCCGCTATTTTTCAGAAGATCAGAAGTCAATAATTGTCTGTGTCTTTTGCATCGAAATCAAGTTTAAATCGCGGAACAATGATGAATTTCTGAACCCAAGTAACCAAAAGTTCTGATTAAAGGCTATTTGAGGCTTAAGTAGATTGGTTGAAGGTGGTCTATAGAATTCTAAGCAGCCTCATTTTGAAGTCGTTATAAGAACTTGAAAGTTCCGGTACCATAATTGAAGAGCATTCTAAGCAGCTTCTGGCGGAACTTGAACGGATCTTTTAAAAAATAAATTAAAAAAGGTTTTTGTCCTCTACACCAATTCTATATGCCGAATACACGGGTTCGAATCCAGGAAATTACTCTTTATGTTTTTATGATTGGATAGAATGTTGATGCACTGCATAAATATAAGAATTATGATTTATTCGGGTCACTGATCATTTCATATTTACGTACATTAAATTTTGTTACTAATAAAGACTTGTGCGGATTGCTTCATGTGGCTGGAAAGTTCTGTCGGAACTTTATTTGAACTTTATGGAACTTGAAAGTTCTGTCAGAACATTATTCGAACTTTAAGGAACTTGAAAGTTCTGTCGGAACTTTATTTGAACTTTATGGAACTTGAAAGTTCTGTCGGAACTTTATTTGAACTTTATGGAAATTGAAAGTTCTATCGGAACTTTATGGAACTTGAAAGTTCTGTCGGGACTTTATTCGAACTTTATTGAACTTGAAAGTTCTGTGGAACTTTATTTGAACTTTGTGGAACTTGGAAGTGATTTTAATCGTTGAATGCGGAACTTTTGGTTACTTGGGAAGGATCTACCATCTTTTTCGTAAGTACGCAATTGTTGTTAATATCGCCAATATATTTTTTTTAATTGGTCTTCTATCACCTGTTTGTTTTGCCGGCAACGAATTTTTGGTTTTGTTGAAGAATTTCAGCGGCATATACACATGCATATCCGGAACACGCATTTTAATCCAAACGCCGTATTTTACGAATGCTTGTTCCCCAAATGCAAATCCCGATACAATCATTTCAAGTCTTTGAAGCGTCATATAGTACAACAGCATCCTGTTCACTGTTTGTTTCCACGGAAACTTCAGATCACGATTTTGAAGATGTTACATTGCTTGATTCAGAAGATGAACTTTTAGAGGAACTTTGTGTTAAAAAATCAAGGGTCGAAAATATAAATAATTCCTCACAAGTATTTCCCAACGCATCCCAATGATTCCAGAAGCCGACGGCTGTTCGTTGAACCTGATCACGGAATGTGTATCGCTTGATATTTGTCGTCTTTCAAAGGACGTTTTCCTTCCTCAATCAAAAGTAAATGAGATGATTAAATTTTTCGAAACATTGGCTCAGATGTTGGGTGAATATTTCCAGGGCAATACCAATACATTTCTGGCACAAAATGGTATCGATCAGGCATCTAAGGAAACTGTATATTCCTTAAACTGTTTTCATTTACCGGATTTATTTTCGCAAGTATCAATTATGAAAAGACATTCCACGGCCATGAAAAGACGTTCCCATGTATTTTCAGCTCACAGATCGTTAAAAGAAGCGTTTATCTAACATCTAATACGACAAACACAACAAAAAAAGGTTATGTGCTCAAGTTATTAACGAAAGAGAAAATCGACGAAGAGAATCGATCAATGTTACTTAGTACCTAATGCAATGTTCAGCTTGAATTGTTCTCTATGAGCAATAAACCATGCTTGTGAGTAAATGGATCTCCCTATGCTGCTATTGCAGCTGGTAGAAATCAAAATACTAGCCATCATAATGCAAACAGAAATTTTGATAATTTTGTCTTAGGAAGCATTACTGCTCCTAAAATGGAATTTTTACAGAAATCATTAATTCGAGCTGAACATTGCATTAGGTCCTGAGTAACATTGATCGATTCTCTACATCGAAATTCTCTTTCGTTAATAACAAAACCGTTTCTTGTTGTGTATGTATTGTATATGCTAGATAAAAGCTTCTTTTATCGATCTGTGAGCTGAAAATTACTGGGAATGTCTTTACATGGCAGTGGAGATACAAAGAGAAAGTCGACGAAGAGAATCTTTCAATGTTGCTTAGGACCTAATGCAATGTTCAGCTTGAATTGACATGATTACTGATATGCTGAAACCTAACTCTATGTTTGATGCTATTCAAATTGGAGTTAAATTTGCGAACAATACCGCCATGACTTTGAAATTTAGTAATGGATTTTAAATCATTAAATAAATTTGGAATGCTCGATCTCTTAAAGATAATGAAGAAGAGCTATTTAACTTTTTGAGAGTTCATAACGTGCATATTGCCGTTATAACTGAAACGTTCCTTAAACCTGACCATAAGGTTAAAAGGGACGAAAATTATGTCATTTATCGAAATGATCGTCTTGATGCAGACGTATCAAACATAAAATTCTTTCTTAATTTGAAACCCAAGTTTTTGAAACTTTGGGAGTTTCTGTCGAAACAAAATTTGGGAAAACTTAAGTTTATAGCTGCCTATGTGCCATTCAAATGCGTAGGCCAGTAAAAGAATTTTCTCAAGGGTGACCTTCCGAAACTTACCCGTCATAGGTTTAAAATCTTCATTATTGGTGATTTTAATGTAAAACACCGCTCTTGGAATAATGCTCAAAGCAATTACAGGTTATTACACTATTCAATATCCAAACAGCCCAACATGCTTTTCTTCAGCAAGAAATCCCTCAACTATTGATCTGGTATTAACTGATTCAAGTCAACTTTTGGAGCCAATTGGTTACTCGTGCTGACTTTGGTTCTAATCACCTTCCAGTAACTTTTGATATATCCCAAGAAATAATTTGTAATCCCAACAGCTCTACTTCTAATTACCATAGAACTGAATGGGAGCCATATC